GATAATCTATTTCTTCTAAAGCACATGCATCATATAGATGGTCACTCTTCACTAGCATACTAGTGCAAGAAAGGAAATAGGAATGCCTTGTTCTTAAAAACAATGTTGGTTCATATCCCTAAATTGAAAAGTTTGACTTCTATGGTTTTGTTATTCTAGGGAAAAATTAAAAAAAAGGAAAAAAATAAAAAACTAATTCGATAAGATTCTAACCAAAATTGTAGTGTCTCTTTGGGGTACCGATACCCCTTTTTTTATGGTATTTTAAAAAAATCTTTTTAATAATAAAATAATATAAAACTAACCTTATAAAATAAAAAAACTATAAAAAAAGGTATGCATGGTTCAAAGTGCTGATACTCAATACATCCCTTTCAGCATATTGGGGTGTATGGATACTTTGAACCATAAATCCATGTCTAATATACTGATAAAAATAAATAAATCCATGTCTAATATATCATACAAGCCATATAAGATCCTAATGTTATGTTTTCATGTCTTTATTGTTTATGGATTATATCATTTTCTTTTTTTTTTTCTCAAGGCTTATGCCTCACCCCTATGAAACACAACCGCCTCGCCTCCGCTCTCAAACTCTGAAAGAATCAGGACCCATTCCAAAATCCTATTACATACCTAGAAACAAGACGATCATGAGATTTGTGCTTGTCTTCAAAAAAAAACTTCTATTTCTTTCTTTCCAAAGTTCCCAACAAAATGCAAAAGGTATACAGCTCCAAATGATCTTTCTTTCCTATTTCCGTTCAAGGCTGGCCAGAGAGCCAAACTTTCACTTGAAGATCTTGGGTTCCACATATCCATTTTGAAAACTGAGAAAAGGAGCCCCACATAATCTTTGTATAGCAGTGACCAAAACACAGGTGAAGCACAAGTTCATCCTCTAGAAGACAAAGTTAGCATCTTCCTGCCAAATGAAAGCCTTTACCCATGATGTGATCTTGTGTAAGAATGCTGTCCAATGACACAATCCAAGCAAAAGGGCACTACCTTAAACAGGAGAGGATTGCCCCAAACACCTTTAACAGTTTCCCTATCTACTTGATTCCTTGCCAAAGCGTTGTGAAAACTCCCTTATTACTCTCCTTGCACCATTTAGAATCAGCTCTTTCCAGATTTAACTCAGCTCTTTGGATCTTAGCTAGAAGATTAATACATTCCTCCATTTCCTAGTCTAGAAGAGCCATTCTTAACTTTGGGAACCACACCACTCCACCTTGTATAATTTCATAGCATTGAGCAATTGAGATATTTCTTCTACTCAATCTATACATTCTTGGACAAAGATCACAAAGCTTCCCTATCCCCAACCAATCATCCTCTCAAAGCCTAATGTGTTCACCATTCCCAACATTAAAGGAAACAAAATTCAAAAAATTTGAATGATAATTCATTTTCCCCTTCTAGAGTCGACACAAACTCCATATGAAGGTTTAACCTCCCTCAAATCCTACCCATAATTAACTTATTTGCAAGCAATCACCCTTCTCCACAATGAATTCCTCTCCCTCCCAAACCTACATAACCACTTCCCCAAGATAGCTTTATTAAAAGTTCTTACCCTCCTAATCTCAAGACCACATCCTTCTTATCCCTGAAACCTTTTCCTACTTCACTAGATGAAATTTCTTATAATGACCCCTAACATTCCAAAGAAACTCCTTTTTCAAATTCTCAATCGTCTCCACAACTGAAGCACAGCACCTTAATCAATGAGAGATAATAAATTGGAAGATTAGATAAAACACTCTTAATTAAAGTAATCTTTCCGCCCAACAACAAATACCTACCTTTCCAACTCGCCAATCTTTGATCAATTATATCTAAAATAGGCAGCCAAATATATGTGCATGCAAAATGCAAAATCCCCCCCACCACAATCATTACTCTTTAACAGATTAATTTTTTGCCCAGACACCATCTCATAACATTTCAAAATTGCTCCTAATATTAGAACTGCAGCATCCAAAAAAATCAATGTATCATCCGTAAATTGCAAATGTGAAATCAACACCTCTCCATTTCCAACTAGAAAACCTTCAAACAGCCCCTATTCCACCCCTCTTACCAACATTCTGATCATCACCTCTGCCACCAAGACCAAAACAAGCAGGAAAATGGATAACCTTGTCTAATGCCTCTTGAAGCTTGGAAAAATCCAGCTCCTCCATTTCTCCCCAAATCCCATTCCATCCAGAACTTCTAACAAATCCCATTCCACATGATCATAAGCCTTATCAATGTCCAATTTACAAATCACACCTACCTTCCCACTTCTAATTCTTGCATCAGCACATTCACTTGCAACCAAAACCCCATCCAAAATTTGTCTCCCTTCTACAAAAGCCATTCAAGTAGGACCTAATACTTCATGCAAAACTAATTGCAACCTTCTTGACAAAACTTTTCCAATAATCTTATAAGGGCTACTGATTACACTTATTGACTGAAATCTTCTACCTTCGAAGCATCCTCCACCTTAGGAATCAAGGAAATGAATGTAGTTTTCGCACCTTCTCAATGAACTTTGCAATCTACATTTCTTTAAATATCTGCATAAAATCCTTCTTGACAATATCCCAACAAGACGTAGAAAAAAATATTGAATCCATCCAACCCTAGTGTTTTGTCTCACTTCATCACCTTAATTGCTGCCCATACTTCCTCCTCTTCGAGTTCCCTTTCCAACCAAGATTTTTGGACCCCTCCAATTCTTTCCAACCACGAATCACCAAGGAAACAGTTCCTACATGGAGAGGAGCTGAACAAATCAATGTAGAAATTTTTAATAGTTTCTGCAATTTATTCCTGGTCATCCACCACCCTTTCATCCTCCTCTAGCCTAAGAATGAAATTTATTTGGCCTAGAAAGAAGCGCTATTTTATCCCCTTCCTTAAGCCATAAAACTCTAGATTTTTGCCTCCACATCACATTCTCAAAATGAAATATTTTCTCCAATTCTTCCTTCAAAATGTTTCTCTCTCTTCTCCCTTCATTGGACAATGCATCCTCTTTTTTCAGCCTATCCAACCTTGGCATTTTCCCTACAAGCTCTGTCTTTCTTGTTTGCACATTTCCAAGACCTGTTTATTCCACACTTTTTTTATCAGCAACACAGAAAACTTAATTAATTACCTAAATTAGAAAAGGTTACAAGGGGTTGTGAACCCGTTACAGCAACAAACACCCCATCACCCTATTACAATTGAGCCCAATACAATTGATGTTTATGAACACGTTCTTAGCCAAACCCTCCACCAAACAATTAACTGACCTTATTACCCTCTTATTTGGATTTTCAATTCCCTTGAAATCCACTTGAAATGTATAATTTCATTTCAATAATGCCAAACCACTCCCTTACGGCCTTACCTTTCTTCAGCCACCCAACTACTATCTTCAAATCCCCTTCAATAACCAACTTTATAATCCCCATTTCTTTAGCTTTTGTACCCCAAAAATTTCTGCCATAAGCTCTGCTCCGACTGCATCACCCCTTTCTATTGCCCCCCAATTCCTAAAGAAATCCTCCACTGTAAAGTTTGAAAAAAGTTTTGATTTCTTCACCCAATGTGCAACTCTTAGGGTTACAATTACAATGACTGTCTCCTTACTCTTTTCTTTTTCCCCAAAAATTCTTGTGTTCCTCTCTTCCCAAACTGTCCAAAGCACTGCTACTCCTGTACATCCCCACAAAATTCTGCCCCCTTTTTTGTACACAAAACAAATGGGCAAAACAACCCATCCAAACTGGCAGGGGGATTACACCTACAACCAAAAAGAGAACAAAACCATTCCCAAATACAACAAACAAAGGGACAGGAGATTAAGAGATGGTAGGCAGTCTCACCATTCAACTTATAGAGAAAGCACCAATTAGAGGACAAGGACACATTTGGTCTTTTCCTTTGCAACAAGTCACAAGTATTAATGCTCCCATGGAAAATTTCACAACAAAAAGAACTAACTTTTGGGGGACCATACTTCTTTCACAGAAAAGGGAAGAGAAGATGCAGTGGCTACAAGAGAGGTGAAAAAAGATTTATAGGAAAACATCCCATTAGGACTCAAAGACCAAACCCGACTACCACTTGCAGGAGCATTAAAAACTATGTTATCCAAAATACTCAACAGGTTAGACAAAAGGAATTCCAGACTCTCTAGGGTTCCTCAAAAGACCCAAGTTCCAATTCAACCCAATAGAGGAAGGAGACTGAATGAACTCCGACACAGGTCTTTCTTTCAGGTTGAAGAGAACGAGCATGGAAGGAAAAACATCTTTCAAAGGAGACTCCCCAACCCAGACATATTCCTAGAAAGTTAAGAGATAAAATTGATACTCCCATTGATCCTAACAACAAGCTGAATGTTGAGAAAATGAGCTACATAAAATTAAGGGTATATATAAATGGTTGATAAGCAGGTTGTTAGATTTGTTTGACTCGACCTAACACATCCTATGTTGTTAGTGCGGTAAGCTAATACAATCATCATCCTCAGGGACCACATCTAGGAGCAAGTTAAAATGTATTATAGTAAACAAACTTTATATGAAAAACATTGGCCATATCCATCAAGGAATCCCCAATTAAATATCCAATGGAGAAGATGCAATTATATTATTTCTTTTCAGAGCTTTTGCAGCAATTGTTTCTAAACAATCAAAGAACATGAGAAAGACCTTGGATGGTTAACATCCCCCTACTTTGATATAGAGGATATCTTCCATTTCCTTCTCCAATCAGGACTTTGGTATTCCTCTTCAAGGTTGAATACTTTTATCATCCAAGCATTTTGACTTATAACTTACAAGAGTAATTGATCATTGCTAAAGTCTAAATCAGATGCATCACTTACAACTAAATAGAAAGAAACAAGATAATATCAAGACGAGTAGAACGTTCAAGAAATAGTACTAATACCTCTCATAAATCATAAACAGAAAACATAGCAATAGCACAGAAGATTGTATCAGTACCTGTGTCATACCCGAACAACAAGCCACCAATACTAGCAGTCAGAGTCAGACCCAGTACATAAGGGTTGCTGAAATACGAATTCTTTCTTCCAGCGCCTGAGTCCAAATACCCTGAGCTTCCAGGTAAAGACTCGATTGTCATCCTCAGAAAATTCAACGCCCAGCTCCCACAATTTGCAAATAAAACACCCTGAAACCAATCTCCTTAAAATTTGAAATTGGCTAAACGAAAATGACCAGAATGAGTATAGACAGCACCAGTTCCTCGATAGCAGCTTCAATTAGTATCAAAGAATAACACTCCCTTCTTAATTAGGGTAAAATGGTAAAACCCCTTAGAAAAAAATTAAAGGGTATTGTACTTCTATTTATTCAACGGACGAATTTCTTACCAAGATTTCAATTCAGGCACCGAAAAGAAAGTTCTACAATCCTCCAATTCAGTGACAATTCACGGAAATACCCCCAAGACCACCGAATCTCAATCTATAACACCTACCCAAAACGAAATTCGAGAGCCAAAAACACAATAACGAGCGCAAGAACTTGAATGAAAATAGCCTCAAACCCAATATCTCCACATAACAAAAAGAAATCTATCTCCTTCCAAAAGTGCGCACAACGAAATTCTTTAAAGAAATTCACAGAACTTTGAGCTCTCTAATGCTTCCAAATTCAACGATAATCAGAGAAAAAAATACTGGGAAAATCCCGATAATTTCGATAGCTTTTTTTCCTTAGATCCTTAGAGAATCCCGTGAAATACTTGAAACCTGTAACAACAGAAGTAGTGGTTGAGAGAGAGAGGCTGCTGTGAGCTCTGAAGTCTCCCTTTTCAACAAGCACGACTTTGGTGAATTTTTCGTGTTCACAAAATTGTTACAAGCCTTCCTGACCACAAAAGTAGTATGTAATTTCATAGAGTTCCCCGTCTCCCCTTCAGTTGAACACTTGTCAGTTGTCGCTCAGTTGTTCAAATTTTTAGACAAATCTGACCAACGTGTCAAACCGGATAAACTCTTGGAGCCCCACTACGATGCGGAGGAGGCATAGATACCTGAAAAGTTGGAAACCAATGAATTGGTATCATAGATTGGAGATGTCAAGTTCCAAATCTCCGCTTGAATAAAACCCCTACAGTGCCCACACAAATAAAACGCATTCTTTGTGTTGATGCAACGTGGTTTTATGCCACAGCCATCATTTTGGAATCGTACTTTTGAATAAGGTTTGACTGAACACGAATGCTGTTCGACTGGCTGTGGAACCAATGATAAAATTCCACGTCATTAATAAAATATAGGGAAAAATACGAATACACACGATGTAGAATTCTGAATTCCAGCCACCCCTACAGCTAGCCCTCTTCCCCCTATAAATCACATCCTGCCCGTGAATTTGACATCAATTCACGGTCAGGATGCATTCCCCCTGTATTTCGTGGCAAACTCTGAACTGGACTGATCCGTACTTCTCCCTAAAATATATGGTCTCGCACTAATCACATTACAGACGTGGAATCTCGTCATCGGTTTCACAGCTATCCGAACAAACGTCCCGTTCAATTCATCCGAATTCCGTACTTTTACTTCTCACCCTCTAAACATTATGCCACATCAATCATTCTACACCCTATCTCATTCCCTTTTTAACATATCAAATCAGCGCCTCACATCCTTTCAAATAAATAATAAAAATTTCAATTATTTGATAAAGGCATATAAAAATATATAAATTATTCTTGCGTTTCTAACGGATAAAGGGCAATTTTTTGTCCTTTATATCAATAAAAAATAATATTTTATATAATAACTAAAATAGGATAGTTGGTTTTTTGAAAAATATAAAAAAAGGGCATTGTCACTCGTCTTCCTCCTCTGCCCTGTATTCGTGGCAGGTTAAGGTCATCGATGGCAACTAAGACCCGATCCTCATGAGAAACCATATTAGGTAAAATCATAGGTGGCACAGTGGAATGTCTTCTTGCTTTTTTAGTTAAAGTGACGTCAACAACCTCAAATCCCAGCCAACCTTAAACCATAATTCTCTCTTTGTAAAACTTATTTCTGTTACTATAATGGTTCCAGTTGCTTTAGTGGAGACTACAACAAAGCAAAAGAAATTCATTTACAAGTCAAGTGGTCGTGCTTCTACTGCCTAACTTGCCCAAGTTCGTCTTCGCCTTCCTCGGCGCATCTACACTTTGTCTGAGATTGCCAAACAAACCAAAGACTCGAATGTAGCCACCGATTTGCTTTTTGGGACATAAAGAGCATTTCTGATTATAACTTGATCGGAATCTTATGATCCATTCACATGAATACAAAGATAGAAACTGAGGAGGAAGATGAGCAACAGTGCCCTTTCTTGATATTTTTCCAAAAAAGCTACCCTACTTTACTTATTATATAATTTATTGATATTAAGGGCAAAACGTTGCCCTTATTTGCTAGAATCCCATTATTCTTTACATAAAATTTAAAATATTATTAAATTAAACATGTAGTACATAAAGCTTATATACTACCATATCCTATACTTGTCCATACGTATTATAAAATCCCAAAACCCCTTCTTGCCCAAAACTTGTCCTTTAAGAAGGATCTTTAGGAAATATTCTCTCTGTGATTAGCTATCCAAGGTATGACTAGGAATGGCAATGGGGCGGGGCGGGGATGGGGAGTCTCTCCCCATCCCCGTCCTTGCGAAAATCCCCATCCCCGTCCTCGTCCCCATCCCTGTTAATGGGGACAAGGTTATCCCCATCCCCATCCCCACGGGGATCCCTATCCCTGTGGGGATCCCCATTCCCTGTGATTCTTTATAATGCTAACCATCTTGTTTTTGTTTTTTATTTTATTTAAAAAAATAAAAATAAAATAATTTAACATTTACAATTCGTATTAGAAAATATTCAACCATATTTTTAAAAATATTAATATATAGATGTATGTTTACATATTTACATATATAACGTACGCATACATATATACATATATATTAGTGGGGATCCCACAAAGCGGAGATCGGGGCCCCAACGGGGCGGGGAATGCTCTCCTCATCCCCACCCGTCCCCACTAACGGGGATGAAAATTTCCCCATCCCCGTCCCCGTGGGGGAAAATCATCCCCATCCTTGCCCCGTTTAGGGCGGATCCCCACGGGGATTGGGGAAATGGGAAAAATTGCCATCCCTAGGTATGACTTGAAAATGGGAGGGAATGAAGCAATTAAGAGTAAAAAACAAATTTTTTATATAAAAAGAATAATAATATCATAAAAGAAAAGAAATCATTTTCTCAAAAAGGAAAGGAGAGATTCATATAACATATACTACTCCTCAAAAGAATTGACAAGGTTTGAACAAATGTGCTCAAGTTCATGAGGTATACAGTCATCCCCTTACATGACTCAGGGCTTCAATAATATACCTGAGCATCTTAAATTATTACATTTTGTGCTTAAAGCTGAGTTTGGAAGGAGTGTACAAAAGTAACTATGTAGAGTGCAAAACCTTATATTTTGTATGTATTTACGCTATATATATTTGCATTTATACTCTTTCCAAATTGAGCCTAATGTTTCAAGAGGAATTTATAATGTGATATCACTCCTTTCTCCTTTGGCACACCATTTCTCCTTAATTATGTGCTTTTGCAGCAAATAAGTCCGATCAAATCTAATTTGATCCGGTAAGAGTCGGATTTGGATACCTCCCTTGATCATGAAAAATCGAATCAAATAAAAAAAGTCAATTTCTTTAATTAACGGATCCAGTTAGAATAAATCTCAATCCGATGCACCACGACCCAATCTAATCCTTTAGTTATATATATATATATATTATATATTATAATATAGTATTATATTATATAAATAATATACCCTTTACCCTATCTGATAAGATCCAATTGCAGCCTTACTTTGATGATCTAAATTCTTAATAATATCAAATAAGGAAGGAGATGCATTACTGTTCAAATAAGAATGAGATGTGAAGTTATAAATATTAATTTAAGCAGTATTAATCATAATAAAGAGGAAAAATGACTACAAAATGCTCTTGTGCCTTTATGAGAAATTGTTCCTATTTGGGAGCATATCTGTGTTGGGGGAACATTTATGCTCAAACCCATAATTACTAAAGCATTTTGTACCAATTACTATGCACAATAAGCTTTGTTGGGATTGAATATATTAATATGATCGATAATCTTATTTTCCAATTAATTACTTTGTTCCCATAGTACATGATTCTGCTTTCATTAGTAATCGTTATATTCTATTTCATGTTGAGTTAAGCATATTTGTTTCACATATGCGGCTGCTCATATATGATTATGTATTTCATGGTTTTTAAAAATGACCTAGAGATTGAACCGGTCAAGGGTCTGGTTATCGGGTTGAACGGTTTGACCGTTTGAACTAAACGATTGGTCCGTTTTGACAAAAAAATTAAATAAATAAAAATGATCAAAATCGTTCAAACGGTTCGAACGATTAATCGTCTGGTTCAATGGTTTATTGACCAAAATCAATGGTTTTGGGAAAAAATTTCGAGTTTGGGGAAAACCAAAATCGATCACCTAAGCAGTTCCCGATTTTTTCAGTCCGACCATCTGATCCGGTCTGGTTTTGAAAACCATGATGTATTCCTTCCATTGTGTTTTGATGAGAAAAGGCAAAAATTAAAATACAAGACAAGGGAAAAAATGCCTCACTCTAAAGAGTCATCCTTGATAGGGGAAGTAAATGTTCTCTCACCTTACTGAAAAAGCAAGTTTCAGCCAAGACTTAGCATTCACTTTTCCATTGGAGCTAATTATGGAAATATATCTTATTACCAACTGATAACTTTTCTATATGTTTACTTTCTCTCCACTTGATCATATATTTTCTCTTCTTTGTTTTGTGATGAGATTATGGTCATTTATCCCTCCCTTCCTTTTTGTTGATGGAGAAAGGGGGAAAAGTTTAGTATTGATTGAAAAATGATGCATTGTTACAAGAAAAACGAGGGAAGATATGCTAATGATAGAAAACATCTTCTCAAGCAAAAAATGGGGAGTTTTACTCCTATATGAAATTTGCAACAACCCTTATATGTTTTAGGGGGAGATAAAATGAGTAGTTCCCTACTTTGAACTTGATGGAGTATTCCCTAAGTGAGAATAATAATTCAAGGGGAGAATACTAATGCAATCACTTATATGATTGAAGGAGAGCTATAAATGGTTATATTATGCTTGGTTGTGACATTTGAGAAATCTAACCAGTTATTCTTTGCTCAAATTCCTAAATCTATTTATGTAAGTTTTAGCAACAAGTGTTCATCATCTAATATGGCTATTCTAGTGCTTGATGGTTATATCTATTACCTTAATTTCATAGTTGTGCATAGAATATTAAATCTTATTGATTGGTGTAAATGAGTAATGCATCCATCAACTGAATGTTATATTTACACTTGATTAGTTTGGTAGCAAAATCATTTGAAGATTTTAATGTATACTCTCAATGTAAACCTATTATTGTTATCATTTTTATATGGTTTGTCATCATCAAAAGAAGAAGAATGTTGACCCTATGTATTTGGATGACAACAAACTCATTGAGGGTACTAATCGTTTGAAAAGTAAATGTGCAGTTGCAATGAAACTTTTTCAATTGAGCTTAACAAAGATGAAAAAGAAATTATTTATATGAAACTAAGAAGGAAACTGATAATCCTTATTTGATCTTAACAATGATGAAAAAAATTCATTTATATGAGGTAAAGAAGAGAAACCGGTTCTTACGATGTAATGAAGATACTCAAGGCTCTTCAAAGAAGATGATGATTCAAATGATAAAATGAAGACATCAAGCACCATCTACAAAGGAAGATTTTATACCAAAGGAAGAAGAAAAAGAAGACATCAACAAGCACCAAATTACTTAGGCCCGGTTTGGCGCATCTTTCCGTGTACTCTACCGGCTATTTACAAGCTTGACAGACTACGATTCGGTCTTT